ATTGAGAACAACGTTACGCTCATCGAGCAGCGTGTTGCACCACGTTCTATAGTTTCTGTCATCACATATAGTGCAGTATAAATATATATATATATACGTACATATATATAATATATGTATATCTATACGTATCGATACACAGTGCAACGGGAGTTTTTTTTTAATCGACAGATAGCAAGGATCGTGAATTGGCGTCGAGATATTTCACCGATCGACTTGCACGGCAAAAACAACTAGCAGACTAATTAACGATTAAGGTGTCTTATGGTAAATTCGATCACTCGGACTACACTGGATAATACACATTAAAGTGCTGATACTTTATATAATAAAGTACTTTATACAATGAAATAAATTTACATGCGTACGTTGAGAAAAAATATACTAAATTTTAACCAAATATTTGTTTAAGCAGTGCCAACTTAACATTTACTTACGGTAAATATTTACTAAATAATAATAACAAATAATAGTTAAATCACACGAATCAATGGTACCAAATGATCGAATGATGCAAACGATGAAATTCTTGAGAAAAACGAACTACTAAATGCTAATTTACAACGTGTACCGTCGATTGTTCGACAATAACGGCGAAGTGGCAAAAGCGTGAACTTTGTACAGGGTCAAGATGAAGGTCACGAGAAAAGGAAACGACATCCTTCTTGGGCTCATTACGGTATGCAGATTGACGTCTTTGGAATCGATAACCCTTCCGATCATACGTGCATATCTCACCGACCGTTTCGATAGGAAATGAACAATGTCAGCGGAAAAGATGTCAATGGGGAGAAGGAAGAAGAAGAAGAAGAAGAACGAGAAGGCACACATTCGTGCGTGCAACGATTATCATTTAAATGAGCAGTGCGCTTGCTCTTTGGCGCCCCGAAACATGCCTCGAAATCGGGTAATTTGAATATTTCGCCGATTAAGCTGTGAACGCTATTTTACATAGGTGAGGACGGGGTTATTAACCGCATGCGATCGACCCGCTTTATTTCGACAGTAAATCATCCATGCTGATCTGCATTTGTCGTAATGCCATCTAAATAATATCGATCCAACTATACTGGACGTCAGATCGAATATAAGAATTAATCTAACGTAAGAATCACACAACGATACGATAACGATGCGATAACCGCCACGAGGAATCGCTTCGGAATTCTCAAGATAGAAATACAGAAATTGGACGATATGACTTAAACGAGGAGTTACTTAATTAACGGAATTACCAACTCCCGCTAACATTTTGATCAACCTCCACCCGTCATAAAATCGCATGGTTCGTCGAGAAGGTGGTGGCGAGTGGACGGTACACCCTCACGAGTTACGCCATTGGTAGCGTTTTCATCTGCGTGAAATTCTCGGCATAGCTCGCGATACGAAGAAGATTCCGCGAAATCCATTCCACGCGTTATTCTTCTTGCCAGGGAAGATCCTTCGGCGATCGACAGCGTTTTCTCTCTAAGGCCCAGTTTCACGCAACTGACGGTTAACTCTTGACCGAGGTTCAATTTATTCATTATCTCTTTTCAATAGTAGAATTGGAAAAAGATGAGAATATAATAAGTTGAACCTCGGTTAAGAATTAACGGTGAGTTGTGAAACTGGGCCTTAATCGGGTAACGAACGCATCAAAATGCGCCACTGATTACATGTGGGTTATAACAAGCTCTGGTAATAAATTCTTATTGAGCATTCGCGCGTTTGTTTGTAACGTTACCATTCTCGATTCTCGTAATTAGCGGTAAATTAATATTCGCTGTGAGCGCGTATGGACGCGGTAGAATGTTTCGAAAACCCGCTTAACGCCCATAAACATACACGCACCCTTTTGCCAAACGGGGGGAGGGGGAGGGGGCTATGCTTCGCAAATCGTATCGATCGCGTCGTATTTACCGAATGAGTTTTACGAATTACATCCGTGGCACGTTTGATTTGCACGGCATTTCGATACGTCGATTTTCCCCGCCCACCTATCGATGATCGCGCGTCGCTTTTTCATCCTATTCGGTTAAATTTGTACATTGCATATCCGACGTGATGCATAAATAAAGAATTATTATATCAGTCGTTAAACGAGCGATATTACGCTTTTTTATGCAGCAACAGCGGGTAAATAATACTGAGTAGCTCGAATTCTTAATTAAATCCTAGCTACATATTAATTCTGGCCTTTGGTGCGATTTTATTTCATCCTTTCGAATATGTATGTACATTTTTTTTTTCGAGGAAAAATTTGTCAACACGCGATTGGAACTTCAAAGTCCGTACCTGACGTCGACTCGCGCAACAATTCCGAGGTGATAAGCGAGCGACACGGTCCGTCTAGATGGGACTTCCGTCCTGATAATGTCACCGATTCGGAGAGTCCGAGAGAGGTTGCGAAAAGAACGTGGGAGTCACGTCAGGGTATGTAAATCGATCGCACGACATCGTGGTTCCTGAAGCAAAACTCGGCTTCCGGACTAAATGACATGTTGACATGTGTAAAAATAAGAGTAGAGAAGCGCAGAAAGATTGACGGTGAGAGGATGAAAAAATCCTTGATTTGAATCTCGCTTACATCGTATTCCCGATTACAGCTCGATATTCAAGAGTGATTTTGTCGAACGCGGAGATTTCAACATCAATATCCGTTTATCTTTCCTCTTTTTTACGATAAAATATCTCGATGTCGAGACGAAACCCATCGGTCCGCAATTGACAGCCGCGTGGAGTTTCATGATTCGAAGCACTCCGAGAATGATTAATTATAACCGCGTGCTGATCCCCATTATCGTATCGTGCAGTGAATTCCTACCAATCGTGGGAATTCTGTACCATACTAACGTCAAGGTAATATCAACGACGTCGATTATGTCGTCGATTCACGCGAGGTGCGCGTATCAATTCGAACGGGATCGCAAAATCGTAGCTACGCAAGTAATGAAAAATCCGCAACGCGAAATTGAGCACGGAAAAGTAAAAGATGTCTATATAGGTGAGAGGGAGAGAATAATGGATCTGGCTAAAGATGAAGAGGAGGCGTCATTTGCCTCCTCGACGCATTGAGATGCAAATACGCGCCGCCTAACGTGATTTACGAGGAAGGAACGAGCAACCAGAAGCGTTTCCGAGTCCAGATCCGTTCGAGCAGATAAGATCTGTCCGAGCGCAGCCGCCACAATGGACCTAGAGATTTTATACCGGCAGATATTCACGCGCGGCGTCGTAGAACCATCGTTTCCTCTCGGTCAGCAAGTTTCCTTTGGGATTGACATAAAAGGGTCGCGGCTGATCCTGCGAGTTTCTGTGACCCGATGGAGATTCGTAAACTGCGATTTGCTCTGAACCTTTTGCAGAGTTTGCGAGATTGAACATCATTACGTTCGAATTGGCAGTAAAAATAAGTTCCGAATTAATTAAATTTAACTTATTATTAGCTGCAATCAATTCTAGTTGATGAATAACGTAAGAGAGCGAGAGAGAGAGAGAGAAATCGAGCTCGATTATCACGTCAGTTTCCCTAACGATTGGCTCCCATTGTTTATAGGGAAATACATTCGCGTGGGACATCTTCGTTGAGTTTTATTCAGAGAGCTCCCTCCATCGACAATGTTGCGAATTGAATCGGGACCCTTATGTAATTCAGCGCAGCAACGAGCATATCGACGAGCGCAGCGATCCTTTTCATTCGCTCAGGTGAAATCCTTTGTACGAACGAACAGACATACGGGGGCTGCCTCATCGCCGACGCTGGCGTCACGTGCGTATTGTCACGAGCGTAGCCCCGCGACTATCACTATGGAGCGTATTGACGCGGATTGCAGGCGCAGGTTAAATCGAGCAGACGGCGGCGGTGGCGTCGCGACGCCGGCTGTGCGCGGCCGCGCAACCCTTCGCTCGCTGTCCACCTCCCCAACCCTCAACGTCATCCAGGAGCGTCGGCGCGGAGGGACGGAGAGATAAAGATATAGAGCAAGGGAGAGAGAGAGAGAGAGAGAGAGAGAGAGAGAGAGAGAGGGAGGGAGCGGGGAGGGGGGACTCTGGCGAGAGGGAAAATTTACAAAGAGGAGCGCCGCCGCTACCGCCGCCGCCACTGGGAGAAACGAGACTACTTGTTGCGCGTCGCGGCGCCCCCGTGACGCCGTGGTGCTCCCTTCTACCCCCCGTATCACCGCGTTTCATCGACGACCAACAACGTCGCTACCGCCGCCGCCACCGCCCACCGTCGTCGTCGCTACCCCTTCGACGTCGCGCCACCACCGCTGCCGTCGCCAACGATGCCCCGCGATGCCGTCGACAAAAATAGACGCGTCGTCGCGGCGCAACAGATATCACTCGGCTCGAGCTCGAGTAGCTCTCGGTTACTTCGTTTTGATCGCCGAGATAGTGGCGATTAGCAGTGGCCGTCGTTCGACCGAAAGAAGTCACTATATCGAAACTTGGAAGTTCGCGATACGGAATCCATCCTCATTGAGAAAATTTAATATCCCGTTGAGTTTTGCGTTAGCTCGAGAAAATTTTATGTACTTTATTTACATCCCCTGATGATTGAAAACTAAAAAGACGGTATGGCCTAAAAAAACTTTTAGCTTGTCTATGTAGAAGTCGTACACGGTCGTGGGGTCTTAATTCGCAGGAAACTGACCAATCACAGTCAAATGTAAGGAGAATACTCGACTAGAATTGGTCAATTTCCTACGATTTGATATCTTACGACCTTAAAATCTACGATTTTATGTAGACGAGCCTTAAAAGACGATGTATAGGTACATTGATGCGCGCATGTGTGTGTGTATGTGCGATCGGTTATTTATTTTATAATTGCGCAATTAATTTCGAATTAATATAATTAGACCACATGATCCACGAGTTTTCTCTTTCAAATATTGAAATACAAAGCGAAAAAAATCCCCCGTGCAAAAATAACTTAGAAGTAGAATACATATTTCCCGTATAATATTTCGTTTTCGAGAAAATCGATCTCGCGCAGAAAAAGTGACTTCACTTACCTGTATCTGGTTACCGATGTGCAGCTGCTGTGCTTGATTGATTTGCAAGGTGGAAGTACCGGGTCCCGAAGGAGGTCTCGGCGGCGTGGAGGTCGTGTTAAAAGGTCCTTGCGAACCGGTCTGGTTAGGTCCACCTCCTTGCGATCCTCTCGGTGGTAACGGATAACCCGGGCTACCGTGATTCGGCATTGAACCCGGACTACCATACGGCGAGTATTGTTGTTTGTAACCGCCGCTAGGCCCCAGCATGCCGGGCTTGCCGCCCGTCGCAGTTGGTTGGGGCCTCTTCATATCCGTGAGGCCTGCAGCAAACTGAGTTTGCGAACTGACGAACATATCGTTGGTCTGCTGACTCTGGAAAGTCGGAGTGCCATTGTTCTTGTGATACGAGCCGGTCCCCGCGGCCGTGGCCTGGTTTTGTCCACCGGTAGGGCCGGTACTACTGGGACTACCGAGGTAATCGG